AAGAATAAGGCTGAAAGATTATGAAACCACAGGAAGGAAGATTTATGAACTAAGTTCTTTGTGCAACACAAGATGGAGAAAGGGAAATTTTGTACTAGTTCACTGAGAGAGAGCCAAGCTATTTCCAGAATATTCCATAGTCTTTAATTTTTCTACTCAAAAGCAGTTATTGCCTGTTCAATATTTTTGACCTTAAAGCTTTCTCTAGGTAACCAGTGCGAGGGAGGGAGAATTTGAATTTATTTTCCTTCATTTAATTATCAAACTTCTTTGATCTGGTGTATTGTTTTAGCCAACAAATCAAAGTGCTGTCAAAAGCTAAGTTTTTCTGAATGTTGATGAGTAATTTGAATGTACAAGGTTTTTCTTTTTTCAAAAAAAAAAAAAAAAACAAAAAACCCATGGGTGAGTCTACACACCCATCACTTTTTAATGGATTGTGTTAGTAGTGAGATCAACTGCTAATATAACTCAGAGAGACCCAGCTGCCTGAGGATTTCTTCATTGATTTCAAATGAATTGAAACTTTGATCCATTACAACATTCAGGAGAAGCCATTATTATACATGCTCTGTAGCTACATTTTGCAAATGTTAATTTCTCAGTTATATTAAAATCAATTTTCTTAAATAGCAAAAGGCACCAGAGTAAAAGAGAAACCACTAAGACAATTTTTGTTCTTGGGCATTTTACTGTATTATGAGTCTATTAATTTTCCCAACCAGCAGGAAGAGAATTAGAAAAATTCAAATATTATCACAAACAGGATATTAGAAGTTATCCCTTCAGTAAATTTTAACTCTCAATAATACGTTTTGAGCTCTTTAAACTTACTAGAAATATTTGTTTTAAGGCCCTCCTATCTTTTGGCTCTTTCTAGCTTTTGTACACTGCCCACCTAGTCTTTAGCGTAGGAAATGAAGAAACGATCTTTCTTAAATTAGTACCTACCTTTGATGTGTGACTAAATATTCTGCAGGAAAATCGGACATCTTTTAAATGGATTTCAGTTCACGTTGCATCATTTTTCAGTTGTTATTGGAGATTAATTTAATCTTGAAACAGTTTGGGAATGCAAGAAGTAATTGACATGGAAGTAGATTATAGAATTCAGTGCCATTCATAGCAGAGGAAATTGACTACAGTTTGAAGCAAAACATAGCAAATAATGTGAAGTGTGATGTTAATGTAAGGATGGTGCATTATTTGGTGTTAAGCCAGGAAAAGTCAAGATGCAATCTAATTGCTCCCTTATCCCAAAGATATCTGATCATCACAGATGGATTTACTGATACTATTCTAGGTACTATGCTATATTGTCAATGTCTCAAAAAAATAAAACTAATTTTTTAGCATCTCTGGACAATTTCTTTGGTAATAAAGGAGGTGGCTATCTTTACATTAGCATTTAATTATCTTTATCTTGGTCAATATGAATTTTCCTTTACATATTTCCTTTTTTTCTTGAAATAAATTTATCAGAGTTGCACATTTATTTTGTATTTCAGCTTATTTCAACACTACAAGCTATATGAGTTTCTGTTCTACTCTACCAGGGAAGAAATCGTGATAGGAACTGAGGTAAGTAATTTATCTAGATGGAGCCAATTAAGCTGAATCACTTAATGCATGCTGATCAGCATCTGGATCTTTAACTGCTTAAAGCAACCTCTTGTCAAGATTATTCAACTGTTAATATAACCAACTAGAAGTTTGCAAAAAGAATAATTATAGAAAGTGAGCTTTGGATTAAGAAAATAAGCTGTCTTTTGGCATTAAAAGCATTGTTAATCACGTATAGTTTATGTGGTTATGGATTATTTGACAAAGCTCAATTGGATGGGGTATATATGTCTTCATACAAATAAAATCAGGAAAAATGAGTTAAATTAATTCAGTTAAATCTCTTCTAATTTTACATTAATTTTCAGTCCGCTCATTGTTTAAAGCATAATTCAAATTCCACTTCCTTAATGAAACAAACCTACCTTAATTGCATCATAGCTCAAACACAGGATTTAGACAAACACTTCTAAACACAGTCTATGATTTTATTTCTATTGATCTCTTTTTGCTGAATTTTGACTACTGTTACAGCAATAAGCGCATAAATATGCACCATGTTATATGGTTTTCTAACTGTTTCCTGTGGATCCGTATAGTCAATACAACTCAACAGCAATTTTCTTTAAGGCAAAGATTATCCACTGTTTTTCTACCTCGGCATATAGTATAATGTGGGACCCTCTAAGCCCCTCAGTTAATACTGCATAAACCATCACTGGCAGTACAGAGAACAGCACTTCTACAGCATATGGTCTACCCGGAGGCACTTTGAACAGGCTTACATTTAATCACATATTTGTAATTGTTAGAAATGAATCCTGAGTAGGATAACACCTTAAGGAAATGTTCTGAGGGTGCCATACAAAGTGCTTCCTGTAGGTTCTCAATCATTTTAAGAGGCTTCATTGCCTCCTAGAAGTATCAAGGACAGGAGTGGCCATCATCAGAAGTAAACATTGAATAAGGGGATATTCGCATTATCTTTATAACTTCCCTGATATTGAGAACCACATGGCATTTGCCAACTCGTCTGTCTTCCTGAACATTGTTATTCCGGAGTTTATTAATCGCTTACTTCAAATACACCTCAGCCACTGTTACTCTCCATTTGAGTGCTCATTCTAATGCCGGTCTTTTAAAAGTGAGTTGCAGGGAAACAAGGAACAACTTTTGCTTTTGACTTGACTTTCCTTGAAATTACTTCTTTGCAATCTCCTCATACTGGAGCTTAAATTGGTGTCACTCGACAAAGTTTCACTACAAATGTTTCCATTTCAGAATTACATCATATCGAGTGACAGCATTGCAATAATTATCACCTTGGAATATGACCCTGTCTCATCTATTCAGCAAAACCTTGGGGGAATGACAGTGGCCTTAACGGTGACATAAGTAGATATTTAGAGTCATCAAGAAAAATTTTCAGAAAGAACACTCTCTTCCTTTGTGAATTGCACAATTGTGCCTTTCTTCTATATTGTAAGAATATATTTAAGAGACATGTATGCTTATGGAAAGATAAAATGGGTGAAGTAGACAGGAATTGCTCTTTTATTTTCCATTCCCCAAGCTGATCAGAAATATAACAAAATCCTTAGGGAAAGGATATCAGGTCTTCAAGAACTGGAAGAAAACTGATGGAATTTTAGAGGAGTAACAAAGCAGATATTATTCTACAATATTTTGTAGCATTTTAGAAGTGCCTGATAACCTTTGGTAAAAATGATCTGTTTTTTGATTGACAACCTTTCATGGAGGAGGCAGGGGCCTCCCTCACTGCTGTGATTATGTGTGCTGACAGTAACAAAGCAGATATTATTCTACAATATTTTGTAGCATTTTAGAAGTGCCTGATAACCTTTGGTAAAAATGATCTGTTTTTTAATTGACAACCTTTCATGGAGGAGGCAGGGGCCTCCCTCACTGCTGTGATTATGTGTGCTGACCTCAGTGCTATGGGGCCATACAAGGGCCACAAGACAACCACACGAATGTTTCAAATGTAACTCTCAGGCAAGCATTCAAATTAAATCACACTGAAGAAATTTAGTTTCTTTCTTAGCCATGGATAGAATACTAGAACAAAACACAAATACTCTCTATTCATAGAAGTATCTATTCATAAAGGAAAAAAGAATAATGTAATAGAATATCATCATTTTTTAACTCTTGATAAATAATAGATCTAGGCAACGATGATGACTGGCTGCTAACATCACAAAAAGAGAGAAAACCAGACATTACTTGCCTCCTAATAAAAATATATGAAACTGTCCATAAATTGTTCTTGCTGAACATTTGAACTGGTCACTGTATGTGCTGGTCATTCTTCTAACACTAATTACACATTTACTGGAAATCTGGAAGATAGAGGAACATACTAAGGATATCACAGGAATACAATTAGCAAACCAGGTTGTGGGAGATTCTATGAGACAGAATATGTGTGATCTCCAACAAGTAAATTGCAAGGAAGTAAGAAATATATAACGGGTGAATCTATAGATTAAAAATAACTTGAATTGAACTGAAACATAAGTATCTTATTTTGGCTCTCAGACAATCAGACAGACAAGCAGGCAGACAAATAAACCAAAACACAAACACAAAACATTTATGAGATAGTCGGGGCATTTGGACATTGGCTGCATGTTTGGTGATGGCTGCATACTAATTCCTAAAACCCGTGAACATGTTACCTTATATGGCAAAAGGAAATGTGAAGGTTTGACTGAATTAAGGAGTTTGAGATGGGGAGATTATTCTGGATTACCCAGGTGGGCTCAATGTAATCATAAGCTTTCTCATAAGAGAAAGAGAAAGTCAGGAGAGTCAGAGTCAGAGAGGGGGAGATTTGAAGATGCTACATAGGCCTTGAAGGGGGAGGAAAAGGCCACCACTTTGTTGTATGTCTTGGTGTCTGCTATGGCAATGCCTTCTTATTATTCTGCTTTTCAGTATTCTCCTGATTATTATTGTTCATTTCTCTTAAATATGCAATTTAGAATTAAACTCGTGCATACGTGGGTTTTTAGTATACGGCATATAAAAATATTTAGAAAGTGGCATTTAAAAATCAGTTGGGATAATTGGTTTGGTAACAAGAACTTAGATTTCTACCTTGTACCAGTCTTAAACTTGAGTCCAATTTATTTTTTATTTTTTTATTTTTTTATTTTAACTTCTCAATATACATTGTAGTTGATTTTCGTGTCCCTTTACCTGTTCCTCTTCCCTCTCCCCCCCCCCCCAACTACATCATATTTGCTCACTTGTCTTAACAAGTTCAAGGAATTGTTGTGATTGTTGTATCTTCTTCCCCCCCACAATTTATTTGTTTGTATATTTATTTATTTATTTATTTTTAGCTCCCACAAATAAGTGAGAACATGTGGTATTTCTCTTTCAGTGCCTGACTTGTTTCACTTATATTTTTCTCTAAGTCCATCCATGTTGTTGCAAATGGTAGTATTTCTTTCTTTTTTATAGCAGAGTAGTATTTCATGGTGTAGATATACCACAGTTTCCTTATCCACTCATCTGATGACCCCCCCCCCCCCTGGTTCCAACTCTTGGCTATTGTAAATAGTGCTGCAATAAACATGGGAGTACAGGTATACCTTTGGCATGATGATTTCCATTCTTCTAGGGATATTCCCAGCAGTGGAATAGGTGGGTCATATGGTAGATCTATCTGTAATTGTTTGAGAAATCTCCATACCATTTTCCATAAAGGCTACACCATTTTGCAGTCCCACCAACAGTGTATGAGAGTTCCTTTTTTTTCCACAACCTCACCAGCATTTATCATTCTCAGTCTTTTGTATATTAGCCATCCTAACTGGGGTGAGATGGTATCTCAGTGTGGTTTTGATTTGCATTTCCCGAATGCTGAGTGATGTTGAGCATTTTTTCATGTGTCTGTTGGCCATTCGTATATCTTCCTTTGAGAAATGACTATTCCCCTCCTTTGCCCACTTTTTAATTGGGTTATTTGTTTTTTTGCCATAAAGTTGTTTGAGTTCCTTGTATATTCTGGATATTAATCCTTTGTCAGATGTATATTTTGCAAATATTTTCTCCCTCTCTGTTGGTTTTTTTTTCATTCTCTTGATTGTTTTTTTTTTTTTTTTTTTTTTTTTTTTTTTTTGCTATGCAGAAGCTTTTTAGTTTGATATAATCCCATTTTTCTATTTTTCCTTTGGTTGCCTGTGCTTTTGGGGTCATATTTATGAAGTCTGTACCCACGCCTACCTCCTGGAGTGTTTCCCCTACATTTTCTTTAAGGAGTTTATTGTTTCAGGATGTATAATTAATTCTTTAATCCATTTTGAGTTGATTTTGGTATATAGTGAAAGGCACGGCTCTAGTTTCATTCTCCTATATATGAATATCCAGTTTTCCCAGCACCATTTGCTGAAAAGGCAGTCTTTTCCCCAGTGTGTAGACTTGGTGCCTTTGTCAAAGATCAGATGGCTGTAAGTGTATGGGTTGATTTATAAGTTCTCTATTCTATTCCATTGATCTGCGTGTCTGCTTTTATGTCAATACCATGCTGTTTTGGTTATTATAGCATCATAGTATAGTTTAGTCAGGTAGTGTTATGTTGCCAGCTTTATTTTTTTTTTGTTCAGGATTCCTTTGGCTATTTGTGGTCTTTTGTTATTCCAAATAAATGTCTGGATACTTTTTTCCATTTCTGAGAAAAATGTCATTGGAATTTTGATGGAGATTGCATTGAATCTGTCAATCACTTTGGGTAATATGAACATTTTCACAGTGTTAATTCTTCTGATCCAAGAGCATGGGATATCTTTCCATCTTCTTGTGTCCTCTTTAATTTCTCTCAACAGTGGTTTATAGTTCTCTTCATAGAGATTTTTCACATCTTTGATTAACTTAAGTATTTTTTTGTTGGCTATTGTAAATAGGCTAGCTTTCTTGATTTCTTTTTCTGCATGTTCACTGTTGGAGTATAGAAATGCAACTAATTTTTGTGTGTTGATTTTGTATCC